TAATTCCAGTACATGATGTTTTGATGTGGAATATTGAAAATCAAATAAAAAAAAACCAAAACCATGACAATTCCGCAAATCAATACCCGCTGTGAGAGTGCTGTCCTTCCAGATGTAGTTTGAAACTTTTCTGTGTGTACCTCCTGGAGTTGCAAGGAGCGATATTTTTGAAAATTTAGACGTGGGTCCTTCTCCAGGAAGACCGCTCCGTATTCCGTATCTTTGCTGTTTATGTGTGTACCTCTCGGGGATGTATTTTGACTGTTTGCATTTTGTTTAATACGCGTGTGCCTCCTCGGGAAGACCTCTCTGTAGTTATTTTGAAGTACGAAATTTGAACCTGGTTTTGATTTTGTGTTTGCACCTCTTGGGGAAGTGAGGAAGTGATACTTTGTGACTTAAACGTGTGTGCCTCTCCAAGAAGTTTTTATTTGCTTTACTGAAACCTATAAGTGTTTCTTTAGCAAGGAGTGAAACTGTAACTTAGATGTTGGTGTAGCTTCTCGTCTTTGCGTGCGCCTCCTGGAGTTGCATGGAGCGATATTTTTGAAAACTTAAACGTGAGTCCTTCTCCAGGAAGACCGCTCCATATTCTGAAACTTTACTTTTTATGTGTATACCTCTCAAGGACGTATGAATTAACTTTGATTACGTGTGTGCCTCCTTGGGAAGACCCTTTCTGCATTTTGTGATTTAAGTATCTTGTAACTTAAGTGTGAAATTTGAACTCTTTTGTGTGCTTCCCTCAGAGAAAGGGAAGAGGTGATTGGAGCATTTGCATTTCTTTAGTAGGTGTCGTGTGCCTCCCTGGGGGGAGGTAAGGAGTTACCTGAGGTTTTTGAATACGTATACCTCCCTCTCTCTTTAAGTGTAGATCTTCCAGCGTATTGAAAAATGAGTGACAGCATTGCCACCATGAAAAGTGAAGATGTATTATTTGATCTTTTAGAAAAACATGGTGCTCAACCCTCTTTATCAGGTGTGGATTGGGCACGACAGAACTGGTACAACTTGCAGAGTGTTTCGGACCGTATTCGTGTTTTACAAAATGAGGCTTGTACCCGAGCCGGAAAAGGAAAGTCGTTTATTTGTGCCGTACTCGGGGCTGCTTTAAAAGCTGCCGTGGAGTTCCGAGAGGAAAAACATTCGGCAGAAACCCAAACTATACAAGCACTACAGGAATCAGTTAAAGTAACACAAGAACTGGTAAAAACTCTGCAGAATCAAATAGTGAACCTTGAGGAACAATTAGAAAGGGAGAAACATAATTTGTCTTTGTTGCAAATGGCTTTTAAGGAACTGTTAACATCTAAGCATGCTGACAATATTGTCACCCATAGTCTGCCTCACGAAAAAACTTTTCCTCAGGAGGAACTACAAAGAATGAAGGAAAGGCTAGATAAATTAGAAATGCCAATAGCCCCATTGCGCCCTTTGATAAAAACTGAATATACATTCGATAACGGTGAGGATCTAGATCCTCAGATGAATGTTAAGGAAATTCCCTTCTCAGCCACTGAACTAGCAAAATTGAAAAAAGATTTTAGCCGCTCTCCAAAGGAATCTGAAACGGAGTATGTATGGAGGGTTAGCCTCACTGGTGGAGACCAGATTCTGCTAACAGAAAAGGAAGCGGAGGGCTACTGGGGACCAGGAGTATTTTTAATTACTGGCAACAATCGTGCTCCCTGGTCCTTGACACAGAGGGCTGCCTATTGGGCAGGTGGTCTCAACCCTTTAGAAAGGGGAGATCCTCTTGCTATTATTGGAACAATTGATCAGTTAGTAGAAAGTGTTCAAAAGGCTGCTTGTCTCCAAATGATGTACGATAGAAAGCTGCAGCCACATCATGAATCACCCATGATGATGCCCGTGGATCCTGAGAGGATGACCCCTCTAATTAGGGGGCTTCCAGAGTCGTTAAAACCTATAGGTATACAACTGTAAGGAAAAATACAGGCAATGTCTCAGGGAGAAAGAACCCGGGCAGCGTTGGAAGGAACAGTAACCCCCAACCGTCTGCAGTCAGGATGCAAAGTATGGACGTGGGGGGAGGTTGCCCAAGAGTTAGTTAATTATGGGAGAAAATATGGGCCGGTGGTTTCTTCCTCCAGTAAATTTGAGCCAAGGGGAGTAAGGCTTGCAGCAGCCAGTCTTGCCCCCAGGCCACCTAGCCCAAAACTTAATGGAACTGAAAAGGTTTCGTCCCCGATAAGAACAGGTAGACGGAGCATTGATCATAAACGTAATGGATTGTGGACCCTGGGCTGGAAAAAGGGTATTCCACGAAATTTGATGGATGGATTGACGACAGATAGGCTCGAGATGCTGGTTGCTGGATGGCCGACTAGACTTGAGGAAAGTAAAACCCCAGGTCCTAGTGCCCCTCCCACAGCTCCTGAAGTGCTACCAGAGCCGTTGGGAAACTAATTCCTTCACCCCTCTCAAGTGAGCGGGGGGGTGAAGGGTAGATGTTTATTAGGAGGCTCACAACTAAATGCAGTGATCTATTAATTACATGCATTGTTGAACCTAACTTAGTTCCAGTGACGTTTCTTGTAGACACAGGAGCACAAATTTCAGCTCTGGATTATTCCTCCATTTTGACCATGTTAACAAAGCCCAAGAGGGCAAGTCGTTGTCTTGTTTTTGTTTTGCAGAAGAACTCTGTGGAACTCCGAACACAGTGGATTTTAATTGTTGGTATTTTGGAGATTATGCAATACCCTGGTGAAATGTTATCTTGGTTAATTTGTTGTATTGTGTGGGCTGTAACCTCTATAACAATCAATTACCCCCTCACGGACTCTGGGAATGGGGGGAATGGTCCAATACTGGATTTGTGGTCATTATGCATATAAACCTGCAAACTGGACTAGGGTATGTTATGTTGGAGTAATCCACCCGATGTTCTTTTTACTTCCAGGAAAGGATGGCAATGAATTCGGTGTCAGAGTATATGATGATCTCAATCGACATAAGAGGTCTATCGATACCTCCCTAACACGCGGTAGCGGCCAAACTTGGCAAAGATGACTGGCCTCCCCAGCGTATAATCAAACACTATGGGCCAGCTACCTGGAACCCCAATGAGTGGGTTAGTGGTGCTCGAGAGCCCATCTATAACCTAAATCGTATTATCAGATTATAAGCCATCCTCGAAATAATTACTAATGAAACAGCATATGCCCTTGATCTTCTTGCAGATCAAGCTTCACAGATGCGGGCGGCAATACTCCAGCATCGCATTGTTCTGGACTACCTGCTAGCCGAAGAAGGGGGGGTCTGTGGCAAATTAAATGACTCTACTTGTTGTCTAAAGATTGATGATGATGGTAAAGTTGTTAAGCAAATTGCCCAAGGTATACGGAAGATAGCATATTTTCCTGTTCAAACTTGGAAAAGCCCAGACCTTGACCTCTTTTCCTGGCTCCCAGGTGGCCCATGGGTAAAACGTATCTTATTTTATCTATTATGTGCTGTTGCGACTCATGTTCATTCCTTGTATGATACCATGTTTTATTCAACTTATCCAACGTGTTGTATCCTCTATGCAATTTGTAACTTCCTCTGCAGATGGGGAAGTCAAGCACATCAGGGCGACATTTGCAAAGAACCCTGATGAATCTTTTGTAATGATTATATGAAGCTTTCGATTTCCTGCCCCCCTCCCTTCTTTACCCCTATGCTTGCTATCTCTTTCTCACCATCAAGGATCACCAGTGTCCCATTTTAAAGCAACCTTTGAGCCACGGGGTGGTGTAAGAGATTATTATTTTGCATCATCATTGTCTCAAAGCTTGCTGAGGACACAGACGAACAAGTTCAGGCAAGTCCTGGTCAGGGGTTGAGAGATCTTTTGTCTGGAGAAGTTTGATGGACAAGTCTTGGGCAAGGATTGCGAAATCTTTTGTCGGAGGGTGACAGATGGACTGGGCCGGGGGCAATGAGAGAGAGAGAGATAAGCTGCAGCTTAATAGCTGCGAAGTGGTCTTTTGTGTGGACTTATCTCGAGGAAGATGGCCATCTCGGGAGGTACTCGCAGGACTCCTGATAAAATGCCCAGGGATGTCACGTAGGCAGGAGAAGGAGAAGGATAAAAAGAGGAATCGAAAACCATGAGGATGGTGAAGGTTTTCTGCCATCAGATTCCTCACCACGGAACTACTGCATGCTGACGGGACTCTCCTGGGCCTGCTACCTGAATCCTGATGTTTCCTCCTGGACTGGCTCTGCGACTTCTTCCTGCTACCTGCTGCTGCCCCAGGCCTTCCACGCTGCTGCTCTCCCCCCCGCTGCTTCTGCCACGGACCTTCGGAACGTCATGCAACGGGACCGCCGCTGGATCCTGGTGGTGACTATCCCTGCTTCACGGCATTCTTGCTTTTTCCTAGCTTTTCTATTGCCCTCCTTCCCTTCCCCGTCTCCCTAATTAGACTTATAATAAACTGGTTGGACTAACATATGAACCGTTGTTTCTTAATCTCACACCGGGTATACAGATATTAAAAGAACCTCAGCTCCCTCCTATAAATTGGAGCGTGACAATCATTTAACAATTAATTCTAGTTTATCTCTATGGAAAAGAACTTCCTTTACCTGTGATTTAATAAAATACTTTCACTGGATTTAAAAACTCTTCAACAAGATTCTTAGTTAAATTGCTTATATATTTATTTGCAAAATGTGTGCCTTCAAAGATTTTTGTTAACATTTGATAACATTCATGTTATCAACATATGCAATGGACATACCACACTCAAAAACATGATACAAATAATACTCCTTCCAAGAATTTTCCCCATCCCAGGGATCCTGGTTTGCTCTTCAGTCTCTACAGAGCATCTTCCTGCCCGCAGGTGATTATTTCAGTTTAAAGTATTCATCGACAAATATACCAAGCAAAATATCTTGTATTTTATTCCAAATCAAGTGATACCTACTTGAGGTTTTATGATAGAAATGACTACTGCTAAATACAGACCTGAATATCTCAGTTTCCACTGGTCATTAATCTTTAACCTATAATTATCTTATATGAAGGATTTACACAATCATTATGTAATTGACCATTAGAAGAATAGATCTATCTCAGATTTGAAAGTCAGTTCTTTTCTTTATAGTTATGCATGATTTGAATTCCTACATGCTAAAAGTCCTTTATTTTACTCTCTTTTTTTTGATTCAGAAAAAATAACATTCATGAGATTTAATCAATTGAAGAATTTTGCTTAATTTAAGTAGATTTTAGAAAAAGTAACTATATTCAAGTATAAAAAGTAACCATTTTATAATTGTTCTCTAGATAAATATCATCTGTTTAACATAGCACTCATTACTTTTACTGTCTGCAACAATTAACATGGAGAAAGCAAAGTTTACATCTGCAAAATATACTCCATACAGCATCCTAAATGAGCAAATCATACTCATGTGAGAATCACCTACTATGCCACAACCATCTTTGCACCTATGAAAAAAATTTGATAAGCCAAATCATAGAATCACCAAGGTTGGAAAAGACCTACAAGATCTTCCAGTCCAACCATCCACCTATCGCCAATAGTTCTCACTAAACCATGTCCCTCAACACATCTAAATGTTCCTTGAACACCTCCAGGGTCTGTGACTCCACCACCTCCCTGGGCAGCCCATTCCAGTGCCTGACCACTCTTTCAGAAAAGTAGCATTTCCTAATATCCAGCCTGAATCTCCCTGTGCAACTTTAGGCCATTCCCTCTAGTCCTATTACTAGTTACACAATAGACGAGGCCAACCCTCATCAATCTAGGTTGGAGGCAGCCTGGGTTGCAGTGACCACGCTC